TCCAAACAAATAATTAGAACTCTGCTCTTTGTATTATAACTTTTTCTAAATTATGGCATCAACCACCTGATAATCTAATGAATTCCTTTCTTCAGTCCCCTTTATTTAATCATATCTTGCTTGTAGACTGACCTCCTAAACCTCCAGGGCATTACAGAGTCTTCTAGACTCTGAGTGATTCTAGCTTCCTATCACATCAGGGTCAGAGTCCTTTTATTTTTTAATTCTTTTTACTGCAAGTTCATACATTATATGTCCTATCTGTGTCTGTTTTCATCTCTCAGTATTCTGTACGTTCCTACCTTTGTCTTCCATTTTGGTACACACATGGCTGCTTCCGTTTCCTGGGTTGTTCACTCTTCCCTTCTACTTAAATTTTATTTACTTTTCGAAGCTGACATTGAAGCATACCTACTCCATGCAGTCTTTTCCCCTGGCCTGTCTCACTCGTGTGGACGTCACTTCCCTGGGTGTTTCCTCTGTGTTGGTGCCGTCCCAGATGCTTATGGATAGAAGGGATCCTGGGTTTCCCTGTCTCCCCAAAGTCCTGTGGGTTGATTGGTGGTAGGGAGGAAGTGAACATTTGTTCAGCGCTGACTGTGGGCCAGGCTTAAATCTGTTAACTCACTTAGCCCTCACGATAGCCTTTATGAGGTAGATTTTGTTTTTTATTTTACAGATGAGGAAACCGAGGCACCCAGAGGTTAAGTATCCTACGTAGAACAGCAGAACAGACTTGTGAGTGCAGGCAGTCTGGCCCCAGCGTGCACACTCTGTCCCCTGCGCTGAACTGCTCAGTGTGCTTAGGAAGAGTTGAATGAGAAGTGTTGTATGAGTCTCTTAACTATGTTTATGTAAACTTAGAATGTGTATTAATTTTGTTATATAGTATCAGCATTTCTTTACACTATTAATAACACATTAATCCCTCATTAAATCTTTTCACAAGGTTATTAAATATCATTAATTTAGTTTTAATAGAGTTGATAAATCTTACTCAAAATCTTCTAACAAATCACTGATATAACCAGTATTAGAAGTTAATTGCCCCCAAAATCATAGTTACTAGGGAAAAGGAGGATGCTTCCCCCTAAGCTTCAGTACCACCAGGTTCTCAATTAGGAACAGGTTTATGTTCCAAAGTTAATTTTAAGTTGGCTGTCTGGAACTTCGTTTCTACGGGAGAATATATTAAACGTGGTGTTTGGGTCCTTGGGAATGGTATTCTAACATTGGGCCTATAATAACATGTATGTGCTCATACTCCTTCACTAACATCCATTCACCTGCTCTGTGTGGAGCACTGTGTAACAATGTTCTTGTGTTAAAATTGGCAGTTCTTCCTTGCTCATCAGGAGCATAACCAGCTTCTGTTGCAGTAAGCATAGGAGCTTCCTGCCCTCCCCCACACCTCTTGCCATCCACCTGAGTAGATGACTTCTTTAGTCTCTAACCCACTTGTTTACCAGGCATACTCCCTGTGAGCTGCATGGTGGGCCTGTTGGCTGGGGTCAAGGTTAGGGAGCTCCCAAGATTAAGGATTTCTGGTGGTACAGATTTTCTAGTCACATCCTTTCTTTTCTCTGGCAATCCCAAATAATGCCTGCTTGCTTCTCCTTCCACTCCTCTCAAATTGCTTTGCTTTGTCTCACTTTGGCGGTGTGTGTGTGTTTGTGTGTGAAATATAACTCAGACACAGAAACATTTATTTAAACGTCCAGTTTACCCAGTAGTTGGCAAAGCAGACAGGCCTGTAACCACTGCTAGGACAAGCAGTGGAGCACCATCAGAACTCCGCAGCTCCCTTCCTGCCCTCTGCTGGTAGTAGCTGTTTTTCCTCCTGTGGAAGTAGTTTATTGCTTTTCCTTATAATTTTATCACCCAATAATGTATCCCCAAGCAAACAGTTGTACCTCCTTTTAAACTTTACATAAGTGAAGCCACACAAATTGTGTTCATTTGTATCTTGCTGCTTTTCCTAGGTATATTTTTAAGATTCATCCATGTTGCCACATGTAGATGCATTTCATTTTTGTTGCTGTGTGGTATTCCATTGCATACCACACAGTGTTTGCTAGGGCTGCCATAAACAAATACCAAAGACTGGGTGGCTTAAACAACAGAAATTAATTTTCTCACAGTTCTGGAGGCTAGAAGCTGAAGATCAAGGTGTGAGTAGGGTTGGTTTCATTCTGGGGACTTTCTCCTTGGCTTGTAGATGGCCATTTGTTCCAGTGTTTTCATGTGGTCTTCCCCTTAAGTGTGCGTGTGTCCTGATCTCTTCTTATAAGGACACCAGTCATATTGATTAGAGCCCACTCTTAAGACCTCATTTTGCCTTAATTACCTCTTTAAAGACCCTGTCTCTAAATATGGTTATATTCTGAGGTACTGGGGACTGGAACTTTAATGTAAGAATTTTGGAAGACATGATTCAACCCATGGCATCTATTATGTGATTATACCACAATTTATCCATCATATTATTTGATGGACATTTTGATTCTTTCCCGTGTTAGGCTGTGATGAACAATGCTACTGTGAACATTCTTACATGTGCATAAGGTGAAAATGCCTGAGTTTCTTTAGGCCAGGGATGGAGCATTCCATCCTAGGAGTGAATTGCTGGGTCATATTGCATAGCTGCAACATTAATAGGTAAATCTAATGTGTTTTGCAAAGTGGTTCTTCCAATTTACACTCCTACTAGTCTATGACAGTTCCTGGTGTTTCACATTTTTCCAACACCTGGTATTGCCAGACTTTTACATTTATACCAATCTACTGGTATGCAGTGCTATCTCATTGTGCCTTAAGTTATATTTCCTTTATTATTAAAGAGTTTGAAAATCTTTATTGTCCATTTGGACTTTGTGATACAGCTGATCAGATCTTTTGCCCGTTTTCTATTGGGTAGTCTGGCTTTTTCCTACTGATTTACAGGAATTCTTTAAATACTTTGGATGTAAGTCTTTTGTTACTTATGTGTTATAACTGCCTTCTCAAACTCTGCAGCTTGTCTGTTTTCACTGTGTTTACAATGTCTTTTGATGAATAGAAAGTCCTAAGTTTAATGTGGTTGGATTATCAATCTTTTCCTTTGTAGTTGATTTTTTGAATATATTATCTTGAGAATACTTCCATGAGGTCATTAAGATATTTTCCTATATTATTTTCTAAAATACTTAAAATTTTGCATTTTAGGTTTAGATGTAATATATCAGACACTTATTTGTGTGTATCGTGTGATGTAGGACCTGATTTCATTTTTTTCCCTGTGGATAATCAGTTGTTCTGGTACCATTAGTGGAAAAGACATTCCTTTCCCTCATTGCCTGAACCACCTCTGTCATAAATCAAGTGTCCGTAGTTTACGCTTCGATCTGCTTCTAGGTACCTTGTAATGTGTCATTGATCTATTTGTCTGTCTCCACAAGTGTGATTTGAATCCTATTACTTTGTAGTAAGTCTTAAAATCTGATAGAGCAATTCCTCCAACCTTGCTGTTGCTCTTCCAGAGTGTCTCTGTGGTTCTTCATTCTTTCCATTTCTGTAAACATTTCAGTGTGTTCTTGTCAGGTTCCACAGACAACCCTGTTAGGAGGATCTTAATTGGAATGCTTTGGCTTTATAAGATGAGTTGGGGGAGAATTGTCAATGTCAAGAAAGACAAAACAAAGTAAACAAAAAATAAACAGTGGGGAACTATTTTAGTTGAGAGAAGACTAATGAGACTTGGTAACTAAATGCAATATGTGATGGTTTATAAAAGTTATAAAGGCCTGCTGTAAAAGGGGAAATTTTACTTTGAATTGTTTATTGGATGATTTTACTGATGTACCAGTGTTAGATGTCCTGATAAGGATGATAAATGTATGTATACCTTTGTTCTTAGGAGATACATGCTGGAGAATTTAAGGTGAAGTATTGTGATGCCTACAGCTAGCTCTCAATTCAAAAAGGGGGAGGGGAGGGGAGGCGAGGAGTGGAGGAGGCAGCTAGAGTGATAATGGCAAAATGTTAACAGTTGGCAAAGTCGATGAAAGGTAAATGGGTCTTCATTGATTTCCACCCCCACCAACAGATTTAAACATTTTCAGAATAAAAACTGAAGAAAATTAAATTTCATTTTGTGTCTCAGAAAATAGTACAGAGCCAGATAAACCGGTAATGAGTTATCGTAGTATGCTATGTTAAGCAGATTTGCACTAAAAACAATAGTGAAACGGCAGGCATAATTGATTATTTAAAAAATTTGACAGTTTGAACTTAACTGAAAACACATTTAAGTCACACTGGCACAGCAAATGTCTGTGGGCTGGCTCTTTAAGTCAAAAATACATTAGTGAGGCTTTTAGGTTTTTTTTCTTTTTTGCCAATTTCTGATTTCCAGGAAAATTTTTTTAAACTACTGATGAGAGTTCTGGAAATCTCCTGTATCATACTAAAAAGTGAGCAAAGTAGTTCATACATAGGAGTTATACTTGATGCAGTCTAGTTTCCTTTTGTTCTTGTTGCTGTTGAGACAGAGTCTTGCTCTGTCACCCTGGGTAGAGTGCAGTGGCATCATCATAGCTCACTGCAGCCTCCAACTTCTAGGCTCAAGTGATCCTCCTCCCTGGGCCTCCCAGAGTGCTAGGATTACAGGCATGAGTCCCTGCACCTGGCCAGGAGTTATGCTCTCAATGCAGTTTAGTTTTGTAAAACTAGGCTAAATATTTTTTACTAGAAGCATTTCTAGTGCTTGAATACTAATGTTTATATTTCTCATATTCCTTTGTTTTCACAGCACATATCCTCACAGTCTATAATGAAATTTCTGAGTTTTGTTTTAATGTGTAGTTATTGCAGCAAAAACGTATAGGAAGTTAACTGATTCTGTGAGTCATGCAATGAATTGGTAATACTAGTGGACTCACAGTTACTGACTCTTCTTTGCATTGGCCTCTTTCTTTTCTTGAATGTTAATATATGATTTCTCAGACAAATGATTTGTAAAGTAAAACATCTAACACAACAAAAAAATCTTCCAACAGCAAAAGGAAGAGCTGAGCTTCTGAAGATCAGTCTTCGTGAGGTTGAAATAGATCCTGATATCCAACTGGAAGATATAGCAGAGAAGATTGAGGGCTATTCTGGTGCTGACATAACTAATGTTTGCAGGTATTTTTTTTTAATGATCTGTGATCTTAGACATTAGTTATAGGTTTGACAGGAGGACCAGTCTTAATATAATTAGCCCTTGATGTGAAAGCAGCTACTTAGTTCTTTGAAATGGTTTTTTTCTGTTTAACTTCATTGGTCATTGTTAGATGAATAATTATGTAACAATATATACACTGATGTTTTTGATCTTTTGATTTTTAAGAAATTATTGTGTCTAACTTGGTAATGATTTTTGACAACCTAAGGTTAATTTAGCTCTATGTTAGAGCCCAACCGCATCAACATAAAGTATAATAATATCATTTAGTTTTGGTTGGCATTATATGACCACATGCAGATGAACAAAGTTGATCAGTTTAAGCCATGGAAGATATATACACAAGCACATGCACATACACGTTTTTAAATTTCTCTTTCAATTTAGCAACATTTTTAGATAATTCATATTACTCAGTGAAGAGGACTTTTTTGTTTAGATCTTATTTTTATTTTTCTAAGATTGACTTTAGTAGCCTTTCTTTAAAGCCATAACATCTTTCTCTTACCTTTTCTGCTAGTATTTTTTCTCTGTGCATCTAAGTTTAGTGGCACACAATAAGCTCACAATAGTTTCTACTATCACTATAGTAAAATATCTAAAAATTTGAAATTTTGGTTGCTTTGGCCTTCTTAATAGCTTTTTTGTGATCACAAATCATCCATTTCTTCCAGACCCTCATATTTATTTACAGTTGGTCAAATAGAGCTGAAAATGGGATCAGGGGAAGCCAGGGCTTATGCTTTTAGTTGCCCACAAATATTCCATGTAGGGAATTTCATGTGCTCTATGTATGTCCCCATATTCATGTTCCAGAGAAAGAGGTTCCTGGCTTTACCACTCTAATTAGGCTGTAGACAGACCAGTCTACGGTTTGAATTATCTTAACAATAGCCATATACTCATTTCCGAATGTACAGTTCAGTGTTTCAAAGTTCAACTTCAATTTCCTAAACTTCTTTGTTTGTCCTTGAGGAGTAGGTGAGAAAGAAAATTCAGTGCTACCTGAGCTCAACCTAGACTTTTAGGGTTCATTAACTGTACATTTCATGTTTTAAGTTTTTTGATTCCTGTTTTAACTTCTCCTCAATCCTCAGGATGGAAAATTCTAAGCAGTATCATAAAAACACGTAAAATGATCTTGTGAATGTTTCCCCATAAGTTTGTTACAATTGAAAGTGTTTAAAACTATACTGTTGACTGATTTTGGTATATTTTTAGGGATGCGTCTTTAATGGCAATGAGACGACGTATCAATGGCTTAAGTCCAGAAGAGATCCGTGCACTTTCTAAAGAGGAACTTCAGATGCCTGTTACCAAAGGAGACTTTGAATTGGCTCTAAAGAAAATTGCTAAGTCTGTCTCTGCTGCAGACTTGGAGAAGTATGAAAAATGGATGGTTGAATTTGGATCTGCTTGAATTTCTGTCAGCTCTTTCATTTCTGGTATTATTGTTTATAAAATGTGAAGAAATTCCTGCAATTTTTTTTTTAAAACAGTTTTTGAATTTTTCATTGGAGAAATTTCCACTTAAAGGAAAAAAAATCTAAAACCACAAAGAATACTAAATGTAGTTGAGAAATAAGAAAAGCTACATAGAGAGCCTGGTCATCCTGTCCCCCAGCTTTGTGCTGGTATTCCACATACTCACGCACTCATTTTTGCACCCCCAAGCAGTCTGCCAGAGAGGACGAAGAAAGTGAGCAGTGTGCTATTTTAGGAACTTGTTTACAAGAGATTTAGAAGGACCTCTATTTCTCAGGTGTATTTGTCAGTTTTGTTTTTTTTTTCAGTTCTTTGTCAGCTTGAGGGACCTATCTATATATATTGGTTTTTAACATCAAAACTGTGTTTTGTGTCAAATTCATTATTTATTGTTAAGAGAAGAATGATAGTATATTTTGGAGGAAATGAATTTGCTAGTTAAACCTTTAGAATTCAATTATTACTTACTGTTAGAATCTACCATATGGTTAGAATTTTTACTCCTCCCTCCCCCTACCATTTCTTCTGTTAGCTGTTTAATCATTTCCTGAGCTTTTATTGAGGAATATCCTCATGCTCTGTAGTTTTTGAATCATTTTGCCAGATTGTTTCTCTGGTCTTTAGTATTTTTTGGCTGGTGCTTCTTGTATTTCATATTAGAAAGGTAGGAAGACTATTATGATTGCATTAGATTCACTTCTTTCTTCTGGACTTCTAAGTTTGTTTTCACTTTTCTTTCAGTATGTTGAAACAGATACAGCCATTATTTTTTTCAGCTCCAACATGGTTTGATTTTTGTGGAATTTAACTTTAGTGTTTGAGGTACATACTTTGACATTCTGAACAATTCCACTCTCTTGCAGCTAATGCGAAACAAACAAAATCTTTATAGTTTTCCAGACAGCTTGTTTAACAAAACAGCGTTGAAAGTAATAAATGATGTTCATTCAGAAATTTTAAATTCTTCCTTGTCTACGTTGAGAACTTGCACACACAGTAAGATTAGGATAGAAATCTGGCAGGCTTACTCAGTACAGCAGGTATTAGGCAATACAGAGAAGCCACAAAAAGTAAATGGCATATATCTAATCATAAATGAAGTATCCTAGTGTTAGTGTTTATAATTACATTTGTCCTGTTTTGATTATTAGGCAATCTATGTTGTAATAGTTAAGCTTTTCAAAATTTATATTTGATGATATCCTGAATTCTGAATTTTGGATAGCACCTACTGGTTTAAAACTAAAATTAACATAACATTTTAGGCATTAAAAAAAAACCTCTTAACATCTTGTTTAAGAGGTTTTATTATTTTTTTCCCTACTAAGAACTACAGATGCCTTATGTTCTTTTTAGATAAGTCTGACTCTATTTAAACTTCGCTATTCATCTGATGCTATAAATTGCCCTCTTTCCTGAGACACGGATTATAAGACTTGAAATCATAAGGCATCATGATTTTATTGTAATGGAATTAAGTCATCTTAAATATTGAAGTGAAAGGTTTTCTTTTATTTATGAATTTTTAAAATAAATCAGTAAATAAACCCACTAAGATTATCTTGCAAACTATTGCCATCCAGTAATGTATTTTTTTCCCCTGAAGTCTTAGGGACAATTGCTAAAACACTGGTTTGTGATTGTTAAAACTTGTTTTTAATACTTTAATTGATTGTTAGACTTTTTCTGGGTTTTGTGTTATTTATCTTGGCATGCATTTAATTTTTTTCTGAATTCTTTATGAATAATGACATGGTAATTGTGATTCTTTGATTGCCGGTTTGGCAGTGTTTGGAAACTGAAACTTCCTAGAAGCTTACCTTTACTATGTTCAGTGAGTCAGGTCTGTTTTTTTATTTCCCTGTTTTCTCATTTTGCTCTGTCAGTGGATGGTAAATGCTTTGTATATCTTAACACATTGACTGCCACACTAGAAAAAAATTTTTTTTTGCTTGGGGCCACAGTGTTGTATTATGAAAACAGAATAAAAACTTCGAAAACAAAATGATCCTTTCTAATTTAATGAAAAATTTGTTATTTTTTATTGTTTTCTGTGCATGAGTTATATGCAACCCGAAAAATAGTTCTCCCGGCTCCTAAGGTGAAGAGACGTGTGAGTTACGTATGCCTCATGAGGCCCCGAGCTCAAAACTAGCATGAGTTAAATACAACTCACATGGCAGTTAATGTGTTAAACCCCTTAAGGACCTTGAAGAGATCCCTTAGGTGTAATCCAGCATATAATGTATATTGTATATACATTGTCTTTATTGCAAAAGACAGTATGTTGCCTTACCCAGAATGAGATAGAATTGTTTTTCTTTGTTTTGTTTTTCTGTGTTGTGTTATCAAAGTAGAAATATTTGGTTCCTTTAATCGTCTAAAAACATGAGAATTTCGAGTTCTGAAGCATAATCATTTTAGGACTAAGTTATGTAGATTTAATAATTCTGCTTTGCAGATACTTGATCAGGTAGTCCCTTCATTCAGCAGACACATATTAGTTGCTTACTGTGTGCAAGACACAATGAGTGGAAGCTCTGTGGCTTTGAAAGCTGGACCAGGCAGTGCAGTCTCAACTTGGCACTCTCTCTAATGACTACCTCTGTGTAGCTTTGGCTTCTACTACTGAAACTAGTTTAGGTCATACACGGAGAGTGCAATAATCTGTGTGTGCTTTGGAAAGATAATATATAAAAGTTTTTTTCTCTCCTTTTTGCTCCTTAAATCTGTTTTAAAATTAGAACTGATATCCATTTGTTTAAACAACATATAACCATTATAGATCTATTTTAACAAACCAGTTCTTACCATTTTCTAAGCTACGTTTATTATAAACATGTACACATGTAATTATGGTAAATATATACACATGTTATATGTTTGCTGTAAAGATTTTGCTTCCATAATTCCTTTTTTTAAGGAAATTAATATTGGTGAAATGTACCAGACAAACCACTCTGTAACGGAGGCTGCAGCTTTCTAGTTAGCCAAGTAGAAAATAGACAGTGGCATCACAGACCATATCTTCTAGCCTATAGCAGTGTAGTCATTCCAGAATGACCAAAACATACATTAGGCTTTGACTACTACCTCCCAAAATACCAAGCCATCTTGGAAGGGGAACATGGTGTGGTCTAGCTGTATAGATAGGGGCTTTATTTGAACTACTGAGATTGCAGTTTTTGTAATATGATATTTGACTCTCAAAAATTAGGATGAAATCACTAATTACTCAAAAAGTAAGCACGCAGGTATCTGGTGAATCTATGAACAGGCATATAGGTCTATCAGGGAAAAATATATATTAATATATACAGCCCAACTTTACAATATAATTGACACTCTTTCACTTTGCTATGCATAGCCTGACTCTTTTGAACATGAAATTATTGAAACTTTTTATTTTTGGATAGCCTGAGTTCATTTGAATTCCTTCCTTGAAAGTAAGTTTCTATATATATACACTGCTGAATCTGTGATGAGAATCATAAAACAGTAACCAGTTGACATGGTTGTATTTTACATGTTTTACTTTCCCTGTACCCTAACTTGAGATAAAATGAAGGGCCTAGGCAGATATTGCATGTGGTGTGAGTGGATTTCCATTCCTTCATTATTGTCTTTGTTATTGTCTTTCTTTGCGTAACAGTAGATTCCCACTCTTCCTTTTATCTTATTAATGATAAATCACCTTAGAATATATTCTGTATAATAGGCATAAAAAGTTAAGGCTGTGTTCTGGCCTTTTCGAAGAAAAGGACACCTAAACTTGTATGAGGTAAAAATCATAGCTATTCTCTTTTTTGTATCTTTTTTTCCTTAACTGTTTTGATTGTATATTTTTAACATACTACTTAATTTGTGGTGCACATAATATTTATGTGAATCTAAGACTGTGTCACAATAGAAAAAGGTAGAAATTATAGGTGGAGGACATGTTAGGGGGCTAAAAATATCTAAACCTCAAATGTTTTACTCTCGTTTTCACTATTTTTGCAGAAAAAGCAAAAAACTCTTGTAATTACTACAAGTTTACTTATTTATACTTTTAAATTAGGCTTTCATATTTATTTAATTTTTTTGACATTTGTTTTAAATATGTGTTTCTTAATGTGAGTGGAAACTGTATGAGTATTTGAAAAAATCAAATCCTTAAGTTAATAGATGTGTTCTTAAACATTCACTTTGTTAACAGTAATTCTTTGAATTTTTATTAGGTTTTTTTGGCTTTGGACAACACTTTAGCTTTAATAATATTTCTAAATTTCCACTGACTTATTAATAAAAAGAAAAATATTAAGGTAATGACATAAAATTATTTTTATTTTACCTTTCTCATTTCTTGAGAAAATAAATAAAAATTAAACCTGAATATTGCTTTATCACCAGCGGTGGGTAGGTTTTTGTCCATTTGGAAATTTGGCCCAACGAATAGGAAATTAATATAGAGAAGTTTCCCTCTCACAAAAGGGCTCCCATTTGTTTTATGTTCAAAACTCTGAAATGCACTTTTACTTTACAGTCTCTGAAATGACTCACTTGCCCTTTGGAAAACCTGAATCTTTGCACATGTTGTTCCCAGAGTCTACCTCAGTTAACCAGGCTTAGTTTTAGGCAAGAATGAATTTAATGAAATTCAGTTCATCATCTACACAGATTTGTTTCTTTAAGCATTTCCTTCCTTTCTGTTCTTTCTCTGTTCCCATTTGCTTTATTTTTTAACCTTGAATTTTTTATTTAAATTATTTTGTCTTCTTCTGGCAAAGACTTATATTCCTAAGTAAGCCTCTCTGAAATGTCTGAATTCCTTTTCCCCTTTGTTGTGGCCAGCTGCATTATTTGAGTGTATTTCTTCTAAGCAATAGCTTCAAACACACTCACATCCTACTGTTTTCTCATAGCTTCATAAATACAAACTAATGTGGCAATATT